CAAAATCAGATTGGCCTCCTCTCTCCTGACCTTCAGGAAAAAACATAAAATGTGGCTTTGGGAGAAAGAGTTTGACCAGTAATTGGAGCAGTGCAATAAGTGGCCACGAATTCATGTGATTGATAAATGAAACGGCCCTGGATTATTATTTGGATGGTATAATTTTAATTGATGTTTTAACTGTTTGGTTTTTAATTGTAATTGTTTATTTTATGGACATTGTGTATGGCATCAAACTGCTGCCTGTTATAAGGTCATCTTGAGTCCCCTTTAGGATGAGAAGGGTGGAGTACAGATGTGGTAAATAATACAATGTCTGCATGTCCAGCAGGGAGACATTCAGACTTGCACATTTTTATGTGGCACAGAAAGCACTTGGCCAAGAATTGGTGGGACAGCCAAATAATGAAGGTAAGATCTCTAATTACAAAATATGCTTCACTTTTTAATCTTCCTCTCAGTTCACATAGAGACCTTGCCTTTTCCCAACCCTCCAAAAAGAACATTTTGTGGAGGACTGGAGTAGCTGCCATGGGGAAGAAAAAGTAGATCCTGTAATTTCTATTGCAGGAATTACAGGAACCGTTTCTGCCCTTTTTCTTTCTTCATTCAATGAGAATTAAAATGCATATATAAAATAGAAAAATGCTGTGATGTTCCATTTCATCTCTCTGTTGGTTTACATTTTATTTACCACAATGTTGTTCTATTACAAAGCAACTTTATATGATTCTGAAAATAAATGCCTTTTAAAAAGTGCCTGAGGTGAGATATCAAAATAAGGACGCTAACAGGTGTAGAGGCTCATTCCTGAATTAATTTGATCACAAGGAGCATCTTGAAACACTTCAAGCTTGAGGCAGGCTTATTCCCCAAAGAAGTTTCTTTTCCAAAACAAAACAGCAACAGCCTACAGACAAGTCACTAATAGAAAATACTGTGGAAAATTCTATTAATTAATTATCTCATGCAAAATCTCTTGTTATCAGTTCTAAGCTTGCAAATTGGTAGTGAAACTAGAAAAAAAACTTGCAGATAGACAAAGAATGTTCCAGTACTTAAATTCTTGCTATGTTCCTGTGCCCAATGTCATACAGAGATACCACTGAGCTTCATGATTATCATATATACTCATGTATAGAGGATATAGAGGACAGGTTTTGGGGCCAAAATTGGGAGCCAACTGCCCCTGGTCACTGCTGCCATTTCCCTGACCAGGCGTTTAAAAAAAGCCAGAAGTGGTATCCCAGTGGTGAGAATAGAATCATAGAATCAGAATTGGAAGAGACCTCGTGGGCCATCCAGTCCAACCCCCTGCCAAGGAGCAGGAAAATTGCATTCAAAGCATCCCTTTGAATAGTGGGGTTCAGTACTTAAATTTTTGCATTTTGCCAGTCTATTCAGAGAAGGGAATGGTTCCTTTTTTGATAACAGTTAAGGTGCAGAACTCAAACTTACATATGAATGAGTCGAACCAGGTTTTTTGTGTTGACTTCTTTAACTTTTTTAGACTTATACATGAGTATCTAAGGGTACTTAGCATGGAATACAAACTTGGAATCCAGACATGTTACCAACTGGAATGATAGATGCATGTTTTTTCCTGCTCTACTATGGCTTTGATAGTGACAAATAAATATTCTCTCTCTCTCATATCTATCCACCAGCTCTTACTCATTTTGGCACTTTAAAATCCATCTTTGTCCATTATATGACCAACAGTATTTGGTGTCTTAAACATTCCAAATGAATTCTCTTTACCTATTAAAAATACTGCAGAATTAGGAAAAACACAGAAAAAAAGCAACACTTTTCCTATAACAAAAGGTTAACTCCAATCAGGTACCTGCCGGATATGTGGGACTACAACTTCCTGCAAAAGACTCCAGCAAAAAAGACTCCAGCAAAGCACTCCAGCAAAAGCATGTGGGGAATGCGGAAGTACTTCATCAGTGTTGCAGATGGACGATGAAAGCGACAGCTCCCCTGGCGGCCAGAAAAAAAGTTAAATAGTCTCTGTGTATGTCTGTATACATTGTATGTCAAATTGGCATTGAATGTTTGCCATATATGTGTACATTGTAATCCGCCCTGAGTCCCCTGCGGGGGTGAGAAGGGTGGAATATAAATACTGTAAATAAATAAATATGTGCTAGTTAGGGGTGATGCCAGTTGCAGTCCAACAAAGCTGGTTGAGGAATGCTAAAGATTTTTGGTCTAGGGATGGAGGGAGGAGATGGGTAGTGAATACGACAGTGTAGAAAAACTGAAGGTGCATTTTCCTGCTCCTCCATTCCCATATTAGAGTTTGGGGTAACCAATTAAATATATGAACAGATTCCTCCAAGAAAAAAGAACATCATTCATAAATAACGTAATTCCACAAGATGCAAGTAGATCTACATGCAGATGCACATTAGGCTGAACCATACACCACCTAGGAGACTTGCCAAATGGCCTCTGAAGCCCTATCCCACAGCCACTGCCTGCTTCATAACAAGTGGAAGGAATCACAAAGTGTCTGGCTACATTTCTGTAGTCAGATATGAATCAATTACAGCAGCTAATATAGGAGCATGATGGGTTCACTGTTTGAGAGGAAAGCTCTTCCAGGAACTAAGTCTCTGAAGGTCCTTACAGGCAAAAGGCTTAAAAAATGGACAAGTAACCAAAGTAACTCCAAGGGGAAAAAACAAAAAAATCAGACTGAGGACATGCTGATTTTGAAGCAAAATAATCCTTTCTTTATTAAGAAGAGAGGAGGAGATAGTCGTTTTGTTTTGCAAACGAAACGTCTTTAGGGAACCTTCTATATATAATCTCAAAGGACAAAGCGGGTGCTAAAACTGTATTCCTGACCAATCTAAATTGGCTAGAAGGGTGCAGTTAAACTACAAAGACATATATGAACTTTTTCACCCTCCAATATAAAGAAGAGTCCAGGTAAGCTGGGTTGCTGAAGATGCAGTAGAAGCACTATCAATTGCGAAATCGGAGAAGCTGGTTCTTGATGAAGGAGGTCATCTCTGGAGGCTCTTTCTCTCTGCAGCCTCTTTTGAAATTCTTTTTTTCTTTGGGGACTCTCTGGATACTCTTTTTACACATGGATTGTTTGGAGACTCTCTCTTGTTTTGCCCCTTTAGCTATATTTAACCCATTCCTACTTTGAGGTTGTCATCTGGAGAGAAGAACACACATCTAAGCAGGGTGAAACATGACCTTAATATTATTCTATTGAGATTTCAAAAAACAGTCCACAGGTACTAAAGAAGGGGTGTCCAAAACTTTTTAAACCAAGGGCCAGTTCACAGTCCTTCAGCGTGTTTGGGTGGGTGGGAGCAGACTATAGTTTGAGAAAAATATGAACACATTCCTATGCACACTGTATATGTCTTATTTATAGTGCAAAAAAAAAAAAACCCATGAAGGGATATAAGAAGCAGCCAATATTCTTTCTCCCCGCCCAAGGAATCCCCCTTTTCTGGGGCCCTGATTCCCAAGCAGGAATAAACAAATGAATGAAAAGAGGAAGGAAGTTAAGAATGGGAGGGAGGAATGGAAGAAATAAGGGAGGGAGGCCTGGAGAGAGAGGGCTGATTGAAATTTGAACAGGGGCCACAATGGGCATCTAGCCTGTGCTAAAGTGTCAAACGCAAAGCTTTTCCCTAGTGTAAAAAGGTAAAAAGGTTTGAGGTCTGTGTTGAAAGGACAGAAGTGAATGTCTGTCACCCTATGGGCACTGGTAAAGACTCTTGGATCTGAGGAGATGGAAACAGGAGTTGGACAGATGGGATAAAGCAAACCAAATGCAGAAATATGCCCTCTTTCAAATCTAAAGAAGACAGCCCAACCTTTGGAAATTATACAATACCTTTCAATAGTGGTGTATGTACCAGTCTGAGCCAGTTTCACAGGGTCTCAATTCAATAGAGGTAAACAAGATATTTAAGAATTGCTTACTCTCCTGAATGCAACGAGACCATTTCCTAGTCAGTAGAAGGGAGTGGGTTTTGAAGGGAAACTCCAGTTTGCACTTTAAGATGCTTGATTTCCTCCAAGATGGCTAGGGACCCAAGCTGACTCTGCCCAACCCTGCTTGCCTCTTACAATGCAGTGTCATGGCTAGTGCCAACAACGAGGAGGTTGACAAAGGACTACTTCTCCCAGAACTTACAGAGCACATGCAGCCAGACACCGAAAAGCCCACCACTTTGGATCAGGAACAACAGCAACCCCAAGTAGACAATGAAAGACTTACCATTCCTCTGGGCTCACAGCAAGGGCAGGATCAGTGCCTTGAATTAGGCAACCAGGGGTTATGACCAGCTACAATTAAGGACAGATGGGATTCAATGCAGAGATCTAGTCATTTGACTGAGAAGAGGGCCAGCAGGTGGGAGAACTTGAGAGATCCACATAAATAGCTGAGGTTTGGAATAGCTAGCTGAAGTAGATGTCTTTTGTGGGGAACAGAACTCCTTTCTAGGTAGACCCAGCTAAAATCCTTGAGGAGTGATCAGGTGGAGAGGGTCAAATAATATAATATAATATAATGTATATACATATAGTGATAATATTATAATGTAATAACATATAATACTAGTAATAATAATATATTATAATTATATATTTTATATTGCATGTAATATTACTAATAATATTACTGTATAATGGTATAGTACAATATAGTAATATAAAATAATATTGTGCTATGGTAATAATATAATATATTATATTTACATATTACTTTTAAGCCGCTCTGAGTCCCCTTCAGGGTGAGAAGGGTGGCATATAAATGTTGGAAATAAATAAATAAATAAATAAATATCACAATTGTATTATTGCACTTTTCACTATACAGCCTTCAATATCTCTTGATATGCTCTGTTCAAAGCAAGCAGATACAAACTTTTGTTTGCTTTCTGTGAAATGCATATATGTGTGTGTGTATACGCTATACACATTATTTATTCTGTAGTATTTAGCACAGTAAAAATCAATAGTTTCTCATATGAGTTTAATGGCCTAAATAAGTTAGGTAAGCATTTTTTACAGGAAGAAAGAAATGTTCAAAAATGTTAGAGGATAGCAAATAAACAAATCTGAGAAAATGTATTACATAGCATGTTTTCACAGTGAACAAAATAGTACAGATAAAAATGAAAATTCACATCAATATATATTCTTCAATAGGATGAATTCGTTAATGGCATATTGCTCATCAGCAATAAAACAGACAGACAGGACCTGCATATATATGTGCATAATAAATAAGTCACAATCACCTGGCTACACAGCCAGAACATGTCTAGGACAAGCCTTCCCTGCAGATACAGAACTTGTTTGGCATCCTTTCAAGCATATTGTATAAATAGGCAAGATCAAAATAGAGATCTGTTGCTGTTTCTTACAAAGGAACCAAGATAAAAATAATCTGAAAAATCAGCTTTCATGAGAAATGCATTTTAAGAATTAAATTAATTTATATACATTTTTCTGTGCATATGTTGGTTAATATCTCTCTGGAAAAAAGTATCATAGTAGTGCAATAGAACTTGATAGGCAACCACAATTCAGACTCATTGCCCTGTATGAAGAGCATGGAATCATCTTTACTCCCCTGAGGGAAAAGATCCTTTCATCCTTACTTGGTCCTTTGCTCTCTCCCCAAAAAGCATTTGCAAGGACAATGGATAGTATCCAGCGGCGGCGTCAATCCACTGACAGAGCTGCTTCCATCAGTAGAATAGAGGGTAAATTCTCCTCCTCCTCCTCCCTTCCCAGCAAAGACCTTTGCACATCCTAAAATCTGCTTCTGGAAATCCTGATTGGCAGTGCTAAGGGTTTCCAGAGAAGAAAGGGGGAAAAATCTGGTTGCACCAGGAGACTACTTCTACTAGTGCAGTAACAGATTTAATATCGTATTTATAAGGTCCTTAGGTATGCAGAGTCAACTCAAGATTATTACAAGTCATAGCTTATTTATGTATTTCTAAGTTCTCATAATGCAATGGCAATATTTTGAAATGTAAACCATATTTTTCTATCAGCCACAATTTATAAAATGTTTTCCACATACAGAGGGCACTTAAATATCTGGAGAACAAATAAGATGATTAAATTAAAGGAACAAAACAGGTCACAAAGATTCTGCCCACATCATATTTTCATTCTGCCAGAGTAACTGCTAAAGTGTTATATTATAAAGCCTAAAATGGCTTTAGAAGCAAAGAATTTTCATAATCTGACACTTGAAGCAATATGGTTTTGTTTTGATAGTTACTTTACTGCTGAATTATATACTGACTGTTGTTCACTAGGCTAGTTAAGTATAAATCAAAATTGGTGGAAATATAAAAAGTTAGATATGCAATCAGTTATAAACCTGGCAGTATTTTAGGTACAGGTACTTCTCCCCTCAAACATTCTTGTGATGGAATGATAAAAGTGTTCAGAAAAATTTTCAATCTTTTGAGTCCAGTTACATTTAGTGTTTACCTTACTTGCCTTCATGCAAGCCATGGTCAGTTTTTTTTTAAAAAAAACTTTTGTTTATTTAGAGGAGGGTAGAAGTTTAAGACCATGATTTTGGATAAAATGTAAGAATTAGCTTTTTCTCCTTTATAATTCTGGTGAAATGTACAAAATATAATTTAATAAAAATGAAAAAAATGGATATAAATGTGATTCATGCAAAACTTTCACAGAGCTTTTAAAAAAGTAACCAGAGCATGAATTAAACATTCAAATTACTACAACTCCTGCTTATCCAATTGTTTGAGTCTATCACTAACCAGTTTACATTCATGCTATAAATGAGCTCTCATCTAACAAAGCTTCCATCTCAGGTAGATCTGAAACTTTCATTATAGTTCCATATGACCGAAAGTTTGTTTTTACTGATAAATCCTTTTGTACAGCTATTTTAACACCTTTCCCCATTATGATTAAAAGGCAAAATAAATAAAGCTTAGAGAGAGGAAAAGCTCCTTAGGTTTTGTTTTCAGCCCCCTCAAACAGATGTTGGTCTCCTCAGGATATGGAATGGACTAGCCAGGATTGTTTTTCTTCCTCTTACTTGGACTGTGGGTAGGGTCTTGTTTCAGTTCTTGGTACTGCACCTGTTTAAATACAAAGTTCAGAGAGAGAAAATTCACTTTAACAACTAGACGTGTTTTTTTAAATTCAAGGGATCAAGAAATTATTCTTTTTGCCTTTAGGAGTTATGTGAACCTTAACAGTTTGACTGAAATGTAAAAGTCTTCATGGATCACTAGTTCAAAAGCAAAATCAACATAAGGGCAATTGTGTGGGAAAGTAACACAGAAACTTGAAAAAAAAAATCTCCCCATTCACCAATGCCCAAAATTATATGACATGGCTTAAACAATGTGCAACAACTGCTGTTTTAGGACAAGCAGGAATTCCTTTAAGATGTGTTCATCTGCAGCATCCAAGTGTATTTCAGGATGAGAAACCCGTGGCCCCATAGACTGGAAAATGTGTGGACTACAATTTGCATTGGCCCAAATTATTGAAGACATTGACTGGGGTTGATGAAAAGTGGAATACAAGAACATCACAAGGGGCAGCAGGTTTCCACCCTTCTTATACCTATTTGGGAGGTGACTGGGTACTCCAAATTAAAGCACATCCAAGCAATAATAACTTTATACAGGACAGAATTCTTTATCAAATATTTAGCTACTTTTAAACAACAGAGTTTAAAAGTGCCTCCCAGTCCAACCCACCCCCTTACTGGGCAACAGCTGCTGTACATGACAGGGATGTTCCCCTGTTAACCGAGAAGTAGCTCACTGATATTTCCATCCCCTCCTGTGAGCAATCTTCAATATAACACCAGAATCAGGGTTCTGGTTGGAATTCACCCTTGTACAAGATATCATTCATGGTGGGGATAAGGATGTCAGTAAGCTGCTTCCTAACACAGAGAGAAACAAACCTGTATTGTTTGCAATGGCTCCTGTATGCTACATTAAGACTTTCCCAGTTTCCACATATTTCCTAAAGTAGCAAAAATATAGGGACAATATTTATGAACCAGTCACAAATGTTAACTGTAGGTTATGTAGTCATCACTACCTTAGTCTAGTAACTGTCTTTAAAAACTGAAAAGTTAAATTCTGACATCATATGAAACAATTCCAAATAATGTTGATCTTGTGTTTTTTTTTAAAGAAAAGAAAAGAAACTAGTATCAACACTGCTTGAATATGCTGAGTTTTACAATGACAAAAATATACATACCATTTGTACATCTGATGGAACTCTGGAGAGGAAATCTATCAGTTCATTGTTATCAATTGCATATGGACTTCGAAGTTTCTTTGTAAATTTATTGATACCTAAAATTGAGTGATAGTATACATTAATAAATTACTAAGTTTTAAATTCTGGATGAGATCCATGAAATGGACAGATAGAAGTAGAGAATTTTAATAACCACTCATATTTTCTTCCATGTTAATTCTTGGAATGTAATGGTCTAAATCCAACTGTTGGCATTCTGATTTCAATTTTGGCATCCACACAGACTTTTCCACGGTAGAAGGCAATTTACCCCAAAACAATGGCCAAGCAAATAAATCAAAAAAGTCTCTGGGACACAATCTTGTTTGGAAGGGTTTGCTTAAGTAGAGAACAAAGCTTGATTATTTTATATAATGTATATAAATCTGTCCATTTAAAAGGTGACCCCACATTGCTGGTTCCTGAAATCTGCCTCTTTGTATTTTGATTTGATAAAAACAAAAACAGCATATTGTCATAAATGTGCCATATAAATTTCAGCTACTATTTTTTGTGTATGGAGTCAAAATAAATCTGAGTAATATCTAGACAAAACTACAGCTTGATGTATGAAGAATTCTCATGGATACATGTTGATATTATGATGAAGTCTGGAAATGCTAGGCAAGAAAAATGCATCTTTCAGGTGGATCTAAATCTTTACACAGTTGTGATTTCTAACTAACCTGTCTGTTTCCATCATGTACTAGCTTCATGATCATAAATAGTGACTATGGACAATATATAACTCATTATTTAAAAAAAACAGTTTGTTCTTTGTCACACAGGCTGCTTTGGAGGCAAAAAAGGCTTTACTTACCCCAGACAAGGACAATGTATCTCAGTGGAATGAAATACAGGATGACTGTGAACACACAGAGGGCAACAATGGCCAGCCAGCTTAAGAATGGAACAGTCCAGTTGAATGTACTGAATGAAAAATTAACAGAAGTCAGAAATATAATAACTTCACAGAACAGAATTAATAAAAGAACAAGCACCAGGCAGGCAGAATATAGATCTATAAATGGAGCAAAATTTGCCTTGAATGAGAACCAAAACGGTTTATGAATACATGGATACAGAATGCGATGTCCATGCTGGAGTTGAAACCACTCCTGAGAAAGTGGGCTTTGTGCTCTCCCAAGATGTAGAAAAGGATTGTCTTTGAATTCCATAGCATTTGTTCTTCATGCAAAACTTGAAAGAGTTTCCATGCCTTCTTCACACACCCTCTTCCCAGTGTTCCCCTTCTTTCAAATTTTCTTTCAAGGGAATTAATAAAAGTCTATGCCACGCCTTCAGGACCTAACTCAGGGCTCTCAGATTAGAAGAAAGAATTGCTATCAAACTGATGTAGTGCTAAGTACTTCACATATCTACAAGGAGGATTCAGGATACAAACTACCCCTCTGTCCAGAATGCCGGGGATAGATTTAGTCATCCTTACAGGTACTTAATTAAGAAAAATGCCATGTTTTAAAACTATCATTCAATATTTTTTCCAACCAGTAATGTGCTGCTGTTCCTATTCTAGACTGGATGTTTTTCTGAACAAATTGATAGCACTTTCATATCAACAATGTTTGTAGTACATCGTAGCAAGATGTTTGTACATTGTCCAAAACATGTAGCATTTAGCTCCTTGATAGAGGAGAAACACACATGAACACCATCTGAGAGCAACTGAACATCAATGTGTCAACACTCACTTCTTTATCCTTTCTCCAAAGGAAGCCACTTCATCAAGGATGTTCTGGACACTGACACATACTTCCTGAATGGCATAGAGCTTATTCATAAATCCTTTCTTTTCACTGTCCTGAGGATTATGAAAAAGATTCCAAATCAGCAACCACAGGTAAGATATGTTGGACATAATGGAATTATTATAGTTTTTCTTAAAAACACATGGCAGACACTTTTTAGTACATTTTGAAAGAACATTGCACATACATTAATAGGCTATTTTCCTGTACTTTGAACTGTGTGCACAGAGGGTATGAGTACACATTTGTGGCTCTCATCATCTGTCACTGTATCGGTTTCCTAGATATGTTTCAGTAATTCAGCAACTTGGTTTATTATTATTTTTATAATCTCAGGATGCCGCTTCATATCCTGTGCACTTCAGTAAAAGATGTGTATCAGTATATTACTAGTTCACGTTTCTGAAATGCATTTTCTCCTGGTGACAGGAGTATATCTACATTTCATGGTGATAAAAGCTTCTCTGGAAGTACAGGCAACAGGAGCCAAAACACAAATTTGGTTCTCAAGACAGTTGCTCTTAAAATGGTTGACGAAGCCTTCTGTGCTTCTACCCATTTTACACGTAAGTAATAACACACACACACACACACACACACACAAACTACAATGAGAACAGCAGGGTAGCAAATATCAAGACCAAGGCTTTATTAGTTGCAATCTATTGGAGTTTTGATGCTTTAAGGATCTGATCCATTGACTGACCCATCTGACAACTGATGCCCATCTCAGTCCATCTGCTGGAAATGTTGAATAAAACTGAAATACCCCAGGTAGGACATGGAGCTGGGATGAGTGGGTACATGAGAGAAGCCTCCCACAGGACGGTAAAACATCCAAACATCCCCTAGGCAAGTTTTTGCAGATGGCCAATTCTCTCATATCAGAAGCGACTTGCAATTTCTCAAGTCGCTTCTGACACAAAAAGGCAGGAAGGCAAACAGCCAACAAACAATAATTTTGGCCAAAGGGTCCACGAATACGCACCACTGCTTTCAGTCCAACCGATTAATAGCACTTAGAAGATAGATATTTATTTTAAGCATTAGTATTTCATAAAACTTCAAAGTTATGCAGACAATGACAAAGTGTGCATGAGTCAAACAGTATTTCTATATCTGATGCATGTATGCTAATCCTCATCTGGGGTCTATGTAACCAGCACAGCATGCAGCCAAAGTTTGTTTGTTTACAAGGATGTTTTCAAAAGTGTGGCACTGTATATGACCACAACTTCTGCTGTTGATCCTGGGCATGTAATACTGCAGTTTAAAAATTTCAAGCATGCTGGGAGGCAGACCTGACTAAAGACTACCACTTTCCTAATCTGGCATTCAGGGGGCTAATTCACAGGCCACCCAAGGCTCCTGGATGGCCACTGCACCATGCTATACACCTTTCCTAGTGTTTACAGAGTGTTTTATTTTCTAAATTCAAACACAATACAAGAGTCTGTAGTATATAGCAGATTTGGTTATACAAATACAGGACTGTCACTATAGACCTCTGGATTACATAGAGTTTTACTTAAACTAGTTGTGATTCTGTGAGCTGCATTCTTTCCAGCAAATTTGACCATATAAGAGCACTATGAAACTATTCTGTTCAATAATTACTAAGTAAATAATAATCTCGCCTCAAGCTACAATTGCTTTCTGTTCCTACTTACGCTTCTTCACTTTAGATTCTCAGATCTAAGCATATCTTGATTCATCATTAAATCTTGTGTGGAAAGAATGCTATCAGAATAACAAAAACCATGCCCCTTTTCTTATATCTCTAGAGCTCAAAGGGGATTTTCTTTGGGAGATCCTGAAGCTATTTTTCTTTACAAATGTTTTAACAAGACCAACTTGTACCTTCTTGATGCACATCTGTTCCAAATTTTCTCCCTTAACGGAAAGGGCCACTATACACTTATTGCAAACCCCTGCTTTGGAGCTTAGGGGAAATTTGTTGACATATTTCAAGGCAAGCATAGACAAAACAGCATAGGAAAGAAGAGGCAGCCAAAAGGATAAGGGTTCAGCTTTGCTTAAACTAATTCCACATGCCCCATGAACCATTAACTGTTTTTTATTTCCCGTTCTAAAGATTTGTAGAGCAAATAATCTGGGATAGAGAAAAGCCACACTTTTTCCCAGTACGGTGCTGTGTTAGCAAATAGAACATGTGAACCACCTTCAGAGAATGAAAGTCTTAATAATCCATTTTTCAAACACTACTGGTATTTCCTGTTCAAACAAAGATGGTCTGTAACTGGAATCAATTTTATCCTCTGTATGGTTACAAATGCCAACTCTCTGGAAATAATTGTCCTTTAAACACAAGGTAAAACTGCAAACAACAGTTTTACAGCTTTTTAATTTCCATTCTGTGTTTGTGTGTGGTAAATTTAACCAAAGTGAGATATTTTTAGCAGGTAAGCACAGTGAAAATAAAGTATCAAATTTGTTAGGTTAATCTTGTTATTTGTCTGCAAGTCACATAAAGCAAAAGAAATCCATTGGGGAATGAATGGCTCCAGATTTGCTTCTTAAACAACTTTACAATAAGCTTTACAATATAATCACTGTAATATGTTACATAGCATAATAAAAACCTTAAGTAGATCTTGGTTGATTCAGCGTATGATCCATACTACCCAAACAATTATGCAACAATATGAAGGCAAGATTTATTCTTGGTGTTCTTTGAAGCTCTAAAAAAACTCTGCTTCTTCTACCATTTCTTTCAACAACTTCACTCCAAAATTAAGAGTGGGGAAAATATACAGAAAACACTCAGTTGGGATTTGTAGTTCACAGCGTCCACATTTGATTCTCCATATTTAGAAGACATGACAGCAAAAGGTGATACATACATCTACTACAAAAATATTAGGATGATAATGTCTTTTGAACATCTTTCGCCTTTTCTCTGACTGAGAATTATTTTAACTTTGGATGGTGGAGGAGGGGAAGGGAATACAATAATTTACAACTGAAATTAAAGAAATATAAAAACTTAAACATACATTCTATGCAGTCATAAAAACATCCCCCTTTATGAGCCAGCTAGAATACTAAGATCTGCCAGGGAGGTCCTACTCTTGTTCCCACTGCCTTCACAGATGCAATTTGCGGGGACAAGAGACAGGGCCTTCTTGGTGGTGTCAACTCAGCTTTGGAACTTCCTCCCCATCAAGCTTAGATCAGTCCCCTCCCTCCTAGCATTTATGAAACAATTTAAGACCTGTTTATTCAAGAAGCCATTCGGTGAATGACAGGAATATGGAATTATGGAAGTAGTTAAAGATAACCTTGGGATCTATGCAAGGCCTAAAAGTTTTATGTTGTTTTTGTGATTGTTGTTTATAGTTTTATAGTTTTATAGTTTTAATGGTTTTAGTCTATTGTTGCATGTAGTTGATTTGGTATGTAATGTTTTATATGTGTAAGGTATTGAATTTTGCCATTGATAATGTTGGGAACTGCTTTGAGTCCCCCCCAAGGGTGAGAAAAGTGGTATAGAAACGCAATAAATAAATAAATAAATAAATAAATAAATAAAGAGAATCAGAGTTGGGAGGGTACCCATAGATCATTGTATCCCAAATCTCCCTCAATGCTGGGAATCTAGCTACAAACTCAAAACAACTTGTGCTCAGAAAAACCATACTCGTGAATGTGTGTATATATGCCTTCAAGTTGTCTGTTGACCTGTGGGAAAATCCATGAATTTCATAGGGTTTTTTTCAGAGTATTCAGAGGTAGTTTTGCCAAATACTTCCAATAGTACCCAATATTCATTAGAGATCTCCAAGAACTAAACAGAACTGATTATACTTGGTCTCCAAGATCAGATGGGATCTTGTGATGTCAGGGTACTTGGGTCTTTCTCATTTTGTGGGATTTTCTGGGGACAATGAACAGAACAGTACATTTAAATATATTTTCATTAAATGTTTGCTCATGTTTAGCTGTGTGGCAAAACTACAGGATAAGAGGCCATGACACTATATTGTTTGAAGTAAAGGACAAGGACAAGATAGCACCACACTACATTTTATGGGCCAATAGCAAAACCAAACTTTACGTTGAGATTTTATTCCAACATAAAAGATTGATTAGTGTCCTTCACAATCACACCCAAAAACACTAAGCTAGTTTAGAGATGACACAGAACACAGTTGTTTCCTCTTTATTTTGTCACATATTGTTGTACACTACACACAACTCTTTCTGAACAACCATGTATGGTTTAAACAAAAAGAGTATTACAGTCTTAAGCTCTCAATCATTCCCACGGTGGGGAAATGTTTCACTGTTGTGAAACAGATCAGAAGCTTATAGAACAGAAAAATCCCAGATGTTTCCAATTCTTGAACTCCGAGATATTAAACATAGCAGCAATATAGAAACTTGTGTCAATCCAACTGCAAACAAAACAAAAACCCTATTGACAGAAATGACCACTGGTATCAATATCGTATGTTATGAACCCATGCAGATATAAATATACAGACAATGGCTACAGGAATAAATATATTGCAAACCATGAAAGAAGAAGTTTGTGCTAATGGAAGAATGACCTTACATGTTAACTGAAAAATTGCAAGGGTGGAGGAGCAAGAAGGAATTTGAGCCAGAGAATTCATGAAGCAGAAGTACATCTTCATAATATCAATGTACAGAAAAGAAGATTTTGTGTACTGGTCCATTGGTATCTTTTATATGCTCTCACCAATAGTCCAATCTTAAAACTGTTCTGAAAGTAAAAGTGTATATTTGGATGGGGCATACAACATCTACTGATCACTGCAAATCATGAACTGGAGAAGTTACAAGTGTAATAAGGAAAAGATTTATTGCAGTAAGATCCAGACTGAGAATATTAACAGGTTAACAAGTCATAATATTGTTATATAAAGGAAATCCTTTTCGAAACAGGAGTAGTCAATAGTTTGGGTAAGTTTACAGTGGCATATAATATGACTATCATACGACTGAAAAGAGGTACTGTGGCAGTGCTGTATACAACAATAAGTAAAATACCTTCAACATATATTCA